GGACAGATCTGAAGTGATATATAGCAACATCTGTGTGATGGATGCTGCAAAGATGTCCTTCTGTTGATTTGTGTTGTTTTTGTCTGTTTGATCTACTCACAGGAAGGTGATTTTTGAGAAGCAGTGGTTCTTCTTGGATAATGCTGTGGGACAGTTGTACAGCACTACATTTGAACTGGCATCTGGAGGGATCCTGCAGCCAAGGAAGCCCAAGGACCCAGAGAGCTCCACCGGTGTGTAACCTGCTGGGAAACACAACAACACTCACTGCCATGATTGAGCCATACAACTGCCACTTTTAATATCTTCAGGGCATCATTATTTGTGATTAATATATTGTATTCCTAGTCTGTATGCATGAACTTGTAAAATACTATTTGAGTGATCTCCTTTTATGTGTCCATCCTCAGATACAAAGGGGGCAGGCACAGACAACAGGAACATTCAAGATGATGGAAAATCCCAGAAGCTGACCAGGGATGACATCGAGACACTCAAAGAGCAAGGTCTGAAGGGACAGGTACATAAAGAGTCTCGCAATTACAGACATACATGGAAAAGTGTGACTATACTGACAGGTGTTTGTTTAGTTGTTTAAATTGTATGTCCTCAACGTTTAATTTACTTATTATTGTCATCAAATTTCATAAAAAAACCATAAATGGAGCATGCGTATAAGTAATGTAAATCAATTGATTGAACAAAAACGATTAGGTAAACATAAGTGAGTGTTAAGGGTATGTTTTTTTATTATGATGAAAATGAACACCGTAATTAAATTGAAGGGAATAGCCATACACTGTTCATTGTAGAGACAATGTGTTTTAATACGCAGCAGAGAATAGTCCCAACAATTGCACCATTAAGTTTGATTTATGTTCAGTGCTCAGCTATTTCAAGAAATAACTCAATAACTCAACCTTTTTAATTAAAGAGAAAGTTAATTATTTGTGACCCACTGTTGATGATTTAAGACTTTGTGCTACAGGCGGAACAGGGAAGAGGAAAATGATTTAGAGATGGGTCGATGAATTCGTGTTTTTGCCTTGTCATGGGAAAATTATCGTTTAAATTATGAGATAAAATGTTGAAGTTTAACAGACGAGAGAATAGAGACAATATGTGTATGTGCTCCACAGGAAATCATTCAGCAGCTCATAGACAACAGCTCGACATTCAAAGATAAGACTGAATATGCCCAGGATAAGTACATCAAGAAGAAAAAGAAGAAGTGAGTCACTACTGATGATGCATCGACAATTGTCCTTAGACTTTCAAATGAATTAGGTTGCAGTAATTAGTTGTATCAGTTGTTCCCACTCCTGTGCTTTTCCAGGTATGAAAATATTGTGACGATTCTTAAACCTTCCTGTCGCATCCTGGCCATGATGTACCACGGCCGGGAACCAGGGAAGATCTGGTGAGTCAGCATGTGGAATAACAGCATGTGTGAATGTTTTTCACAGCAGAGACAGATGAATATATCATGTGTGTGTTTTCCTGTGATGCAGCCACCTGCGCTATGACACCCTGGCCCAGATGTTGACTCTGGCAAACATCCACGCCAACAGTAAAGTCCTGGTGTTTGAAACTTGTGCTGGCCTCGTGCTGGGATCCGTCATGGAGAGAATGGGAGGTACGTCAGTCCTGAGACATTTTCTGTGGCATTGAAATGATGAGCTTTTTCCATTCCGTCCCCTTTTTGTATAATTACCCACTCTTTCCTCCTCATCCAGGCTTCGGCTCAGTGATCCAAATGTACCCAGGAGGTGGGCCCGTTCGTGCGGGTGTGGAGAGCTTTGGCTTCCCTGCACATTTCCACGATACGCTGCATGAGTTTCCCATCTGCCATCTCAATGCTCTGATAGCAGGAACTCTGGACACCACTGCCAAAGATCCTAGCGCCGGTAGAGCCTGCCTTGTTATTTATTGAAAAATATATTCTCTAGTACTGCTAGTCCATGCAAAAGAGAACTAAATATTTCCCTGGTACAAGTTCACAAATGCTGCGTTTTGCATCATAGTTTTATCCTCATGTTTTACTGATAAACTCCACACGGACTAAGATTGTGTGACTTTTCTCTGATGCAGATTTAAAGGAGTCCGACATGGCTGCAGAGGTGAAGACTGAGGCAGAGGTCAAGACTGAGGCAGAGGTGAAGACTGAGGCAGAGGTCAAGACTGAGGCAGAGGTCAAGACTGAGGCAGAGGTGAAGACTGAGGCAGAACAGAAGGGCAGTCCAGAGGAACAGAGCATGGAGACAAACAGTGGTGCCAATGGAAGCCTTGTCCCCAAAAAAGAAGAGGAGGAGGAGAAACGCAGAGAAGCCAAAGTATGCCCACTATTTTCTAACCCCACTCACGCCTATCCAAAAAGAATAATATATGTTGGATCTGAAGGAGAGAGCCCTGACGTCATGGTGTGTGTTTTTTGTTTTAGGCTCAGGAAAAGAAGGTGAAGCAGGAGGAGAAGCGGAAGAAGCTGGCAGCCGCTGCTTCCCTGCTGGAAGGCAGGAATGCCGACGGGTCAGTCTCAGATTTATCGTGCTTTCACATTTCTGATCCACTCTTCTACTTCACTTTCACTCCCACCTCTGCTTAATTACTTCTAGATGGCGCTGTGTAGTTCACAACAGTAATTAATATAGATCTACAGAGATTCAAAAGTGATGGATGCTGATAAGTATCTCCATAAAAGTCTTCCTCCGAGCTCACGGTGCCCTCATAAGGAGCACAAAGTGATTGCTTAGCAGTTCCCTGTCATATATTAATGAAGGACTTGCTTTATTGCTGTTTATGGTTGATGGATGAAGGGTTGTGAGGGACATATGAGCCAGAGATAGTATTGATCTGGTTAGCCTATTGACTTTCCTTTTTCTATATCATAGCAGCTATACCATAAACAGTACCACAGCTTTTCTTGCATTCTATAAATCTGCCTCTTTCACCGACTCATATCCAGCCTCATAATATCTGAAATGAATGTCTACAATAGGCATTACATCGACATCCTTCACATGCAGCACAGCAGATCCAAATTCCAATTGCCTACATCCACATTTCCAACAACACAGTGTACGGTTTACAGTGTATTTCATGTTGGACAGGTTTGCCTGATCATCTGTTTTGTTCCCCACGTGCAGGTTGGTTATAGCGAGCCGATTTAACCCGTGTCCAGTCCTCATGGCCCTGCTCAAGTTCCTCTCCCCCTCCAGGCCTTTTGTGGTCTACTCCCAATACAAAGAGGTAAGATCATCACGGCTCGGGGTATTTACCTGAGCCACAAAAACAAGTTTGATGTCCCCCCTGAAGAAGGATAATTAGTTATCTTAGAAAGAGCTCTCATTAGCTGCACACATGATTTGTATTGCTTGGAGCTCCAGCGGGAAACGTCGTTATTACATTACTGCCTCCTGTCACTGCCAACAAGTTACTATCAAGTCCTTGCCATTATTACCTGTGATCCCTCTGTGTATGTTTGTTGAATGCTCTTAATTCTCCTTCTTCTCTTCTCGATCATATCTCTGCAGTGTCTTATTGAGTGCTACACAAAACTCAAGGAACAAGGCGGTACGGTCAACCTGAAGCTCACAGACTACTGGCTGAGACATTATCAGGTACATTTTAAACTCTAAGTCTACACCGAGTTAGGTTTGAGCTATATTGTTAAAGCTGGTCTACTCAAGATTTTAATATAGACAATGGATGAGACGACGGTTCAATCAACTGTGCAGTTCACCTTAGCTCAGCTAATAGTTGTAGATAAAATAGGCGGCTGTTTTCAAATAAAAAAGCTTGAGATAAAAGAAAGGGTGAATGTTGGACCTACATTTGGCTTATGGACACAAACACTTCTTCTTATGAATGTTAATGCGGTCCTATGCTTGGTTTTGTATCAGGCAGCCCTTTGCTATTTTTTTGCATACAAACTTCACAAGGGGTTTTATATAACTATCAATCTGTGTAGGTTTAATACTAAAATCTCTTTTGCATGTTTGCATGACTTTTAGTCAATAAAAAGATGATCAGAATTGTCAATCCACTACTTGATTCAGCCATAAATAAGTACCTAAATGAATGCTAAAGAAAGAATGAAATTCCTCTCCTCTCTGTTCAACTGTGTTGCTGCTGTTCCATCCTTGCTGCATCAATAATCTGCTATAAGCACCTCCTGATCCATTATTGCAGAGACTCCATTCGCTCTCACTGCCCACTTCTTTATGTCTGTGTACGATGCAGCAACTGGATGTAAACACTGTTTGCATACTCTATGTCCTCCCTCAGGACTGAAGTTATTTCCCACCAGCCCTTCCTGTAGAATCAATGTCTCCTGACTGTATACACGTGTTGTGCCCCTAGGTGTTGCCTAACAGGACACATCCTGTGCTGCTGATGAGCGGGGGTGGGGGCTACCTCCTCTCAGGAACAACGGTCGCCGCGGAGCGCTCCAAACCTGCAGCCTTGCGGCGAGATGAGGAACCAGCGCCAAAGAGACAGAAAGTGACAGAGACCGAAGGATAAACAAACAAAGGGCAAATGACCAACAGCCTGTAGGGAATTCTCCCCCAGCATTGACTTCTCTTTCTGCTGAACTGATTTGACACATGTGGAATAAGGAAGACAGAGTGTCTGGTCTGCGTTCATCAGAGCACTTTCTCCTTGTGAATTCAGATCAGTGCAGAGGAAGGCGTAATGCTGAGCAGTAAACTATGAGCCCGCTACGGGCAGTACGAGGTCAGAGTATGTGTTATGTAAGGAACTGCTGAAATCATCTTTTATTATGTCTGATACCTCTAGACCAAGTTTATAACGTTTTTGATTTTTAAAGTTTTGCAGCTCCAGGTTTTTTTAATTTAGTTATCTTTGCAGAAAGTGCCATTTGTTATATGATGCAGCTTCACTGTGGGATACATCTGTATCTGCACAGAATTAAAAAAAAAAGCACTACTAATGAGCCCGATGTGTGAACACTTTTTTTTAAATGATTCGAGAGATATTTGTTTGGTCCCAGAATAACTCCTTTTATTGAGTGCAGACTGAACAAACTCATTAGAACACAATTTAAGTAATTTGTCTCAGATATATTAGAATCTCATATTTTCTTATTACATGTATATAAACATCAAAACCATTCCCATGCGGATCATTTTCAGTACATTTCAATACATCAAAATATCACAAATACTATGATAAACAAGTTGATCAAATGCTTTTGACAAGGCTCCAGATTTGATGGATGTTTTTGTCTTTTAAACACTAAATTAGCTAACATACAGTAAGCTAGCAGCTCTTCCATCTTGGTTTATGCGCTGTTGTCATGCAACTTGGCAGCGATTTCCTGCAGCTCCGTGTCCGTTGCTGCTAGGTTGTCCAGCTCCTTCTCCTGAAAAACATCAACATGGACATATTATAGAACAGTTTCCCCACCATTTACAGAATATAAATCAGGGTTAAGTTATCATATGTTGGCTTTGTTTACCCAAGTCTGCTCAAGTATCTGCATAATGAGTCAATTTAGGCAGAGCATTCCCTCCCTATCCCGAGTCGTGATGCTGATATTACTACACCTCCTTTCCTGCTTCAAAGTGACAAAAATGGCAGGAGGTCTCTACAGGCTGTAGCTCTTTTTAATGGACATATTATCACTTTGATTTCTCTCTGAGGCTATCATTATGAGGTTCTTAGTGGGATTACTGTAGCAGTCATAAAAAGCTAGATGTGGAAAGTGCAAAATTGTTGAAGAGAAGTGCCGTGAAGAAGTGATTTTAGAGTTAAGTATTGCATAGTGGAGAAACGACTCACCGCCCATGAATATTCTGGATGCATTGCTCTTCTTTATGTGACATGCTCATGAGGGGCAGTTCTTGATGTGCACTTGCACAGATGCATAATCACTGACGCTCTGTAGTTCTGAAGGCTAAACCCTGACATCTCCATGAAGAGTAGAGATTTCCATAATGAGCATTGCTGCTTTTTCCTCCCAGTGAAACATTGGTGGAGGCAATTGATGTGCTTCACTGGGTCAGCTCAAAATATATAGGGGGTTGAGTGTTATGGAAAACCCACAGTGTTTTTTAAATGATGGATCACAGTTTGTTTTTCATGTACAAATAGTTATATTCTCAAAGATCTATCGGGGTGGATTATTGGAATTTAAGTGTTTATGATTTGCTTGCATTTTAATACCTGAATCCTGGCTTCTACGTAGTTTCATAAATAACAATATTATAAGATTGTATTTTCACTTGAGTTAAGTGGTATAGTTAGCAGTTTAGCAAAGTAAACATGACAGCAAATAAATCCTCAAAGATAATTTGTTCTCGCGGTAATTTGAAACACTTCCTACCTCCCGCGGGGTGAGTGCTCTCAGGTGCATGCTCTTCTTTGGCTCCTCTTGGTTTGATTGGTTGGCCAGCTGGTCTATCTTATAGCCCAGCAACTTGGCCAGTTCGTCCATCTGAACACAAAAAAGTAGAATCATAATAACTGCAAAATGTAGGCCAAAATAAGGATTTTCTAATCAAAACCTAATTGACAATGTACTTCATAATGGAAGAGAAAACAGAGTTGATTTAAAGATCAAATGTCCTCAATCTGCATGTTCACGCTGTTTCTAAACTACAGCAATTTGCTACTTCTGTTTCAGACTGTTTACCTACCTTGTTTGAGTTTGCTGCAGGATGGTAGAAACCTCTGTAAATCCAGGGATTGCGCTTCTCTGCCAGATACCTGAAAAATAGCCCAAATTAGATGCTGTTCCACCGACCGTTGTACCGCCAGCGCGTGTACACTGATAAATGAGCTTATCCAATTCAAATGAGACAAAGCACCCAAGGTAAAAACCTTGATTTTCAATGCAATGGTCAATTATGAAAGAAATGTTAGGCTATTCTGCGTCCATGACATGTCTTCTATCTGAATAATAGAAAGAAAACATTGTTTGTACTCTTCACATCTGTAGATATCTCATACGCTCACAGTTCACATTATAAAGCCTCATTTACATATTCTAACAAAACATATCAGAAAATGTGTAATCCAAATAAATGATTGTCCTAATATTAGTAGGGAACTAGGGAAGTTTCATGGTGATATGAATGAGTAAAATGTCTTAGCATATTCATCCTAAATCTGCAGAATTTAGGACGGTTTCTCAATATTTTTGTTCCTGCTTTTTGAGCCAGAAATCTCAACAAGCTTTCCAATCTCATTCCTTTATTCATGATTAGGGTTTTTACCTATGGGGAAAATAAAAAAAGAGTTGTCTTAGGGGAAACAAATCAACTGGGGAAGTTTCATGGTGGTTTTAGTTTAAAATCCTACCGTATTAACCTTGGGGGATTCACTGGTAGAAACACTCCAGGGTTCAGAATACATACTAGCATAAATAAAGAGTAGAAGTTTTTCAATGTGACAAAAGATAGAAGTACCTTGTTGCGTCGTCCCCGTCCTTTCCCGCCTCCTCATAATCCTCAGAGGCAGCCATCTGCTCTCCCTCTTCTTCTTCTGATCCTCCGCCACGTTTATGGTACTTCTTCTTATGGTGGTATCTATGTGTCGGTTTCCATATACGCTTTTCTATTTCTTCCTCTTCTGTTCCCTGTCTTTTGTCTAAGCCCCAGGACTCCTGGCTGCGTTCCCCATCCGAGAGCTCCTCTTCACGTTTGGGTCTCTTCTGATGGAACCTGCCGGCCTGCCACTCTCTCTTGTCTCTTCCAGTGTCAAATTCCCAGTACTCCTGGCTGCGCTCTTCCTCAGGCTCTTCTCGCGCTTCTTCTGGTTGTACCTTCCTGGTTGTACCTTGCTGGTTGTACCTTCCTAGCCTCCACTGGTTGTACCTTCCTGGCCTCCAGCCCCTCTTATCAAGACCCCATGATTCCTGGCTGCGCTCCTCATCGGGCTCTTCCCTGGCTTCTTCTGCAAGCTCTTCATCACGTTTGTGCCTCCTCTGGCTGTACCTTCCTGGCCTCCAGCCCCTCTTATCAAGACCCCATGATTCCTGGCTGCGCTCCTCATCGGGCTCTTCCCTGGCTTCTTCTGCGAGTTCTTCATCACGTCTGTGCCTCCTCTGGCTGTACCTTCCTGGCCTCCAGCCCCTCTTATCGAGACCCCAGGATTCCTGGCTGCGTTCCTCATCGGGCTCTTCCCTGGCTTCTTCTGCAAGCTCTTCATCACGTCTGTGCCTCCTCTGGCTGTACCTTCCTGGCCTCCAGCCCCTCTTATCAAGACCCCAGGATTCCTGGCTGCGCTCTTCATCGGGCTCTTCCCTGGCTTCCTCTGCGAGTTCTTCATCACGTTTGTGCCTCCTCTGGCTGTACCTTCCTGGCCTCCAGCCCCTCTTATCAAGACCCCAGGATTCCTGGCTGCGTTCCTCATCGGGCTCTTCCCTGGCTTCTTCTGCAAGCTCTTCATCACGTCTGTGCCTCCTCTGGCTGTACCTTCCTGGCCTCCAGCCCCTCTTATCAAGACCCCAGGATTCCTGGCTGCGCTCTTCATCGGGCTCTTCCCTGGCTTCCTCTGCGAGTTCTTCATCACGTTTGTGCCTCCTCTGGCTGTACCTTCCTGGCCTCCAGCCCCTCTTATCAAGACCCCAGGATTCCTGGCTGCGTTCCTCATCGGGCTCTTCCCTGGCTTCTTCTGCGAGTTCTTCATCACGTCTGTGCCTCCTCTGGTTGTACCTTCCTGGCCTCCAGCCCCTCTTATCAAGACCCCAGGATTCCTGGCTGCGTTCCTCATCGGGCTCTTCCCTGGCTTCCTCTGCGAGTTCTTCATCACGTCTGTGCCTCCTCTGGCTGTACCTTCCTGGCCTCCAGCCCCTCTTATCAAGACCCCAGGATTCCTGGCTGCGCTCGCCACCTTCTTCCTCCTCTTCACCACGTTTCAAGAAAGCTTCGATGTCTTTCACATCGGTTCCCTTCGCCTGAGGCTCCTCGGGTTGACCTATGGCCAGCTCTCCATGAGTTACTATCCCCTCTCCACTTTTCTTGTCCAGTGGGGAATGTTTAACCCCTAAGACAGAAAAGAAGATACATTTAAAGGTGTGTAAAGATTCTTTAAGTATAAGCTTTAGGTTGAATCTCGTCTTGTGATTGAAGATTTCATCAATTACTTTGTAGTTATTTTGGTTTGCATTTAAATCATTTGAAGATCTCCCGAATGTTTTATGATGTCTCTTTTCTTTTCTTTGCCTTAAAGCTTTAAGCAATGCTTTTAACTCTATTTCTGTTACAAGTTGGTTAAAAATACATACTTTTTTCAAATCTACCAGCTATTCAAAGTCTCAATCAACTGACAGTTAAAAGAGCGCTGCATCAACAAAGGTATTTAATGATTAAATATGCTCCTGCTACAAACCTGCTTGGAGAATGCCTTTGCATTCCTGGTCCAGCCTGGAGTCCGGTTTGGTGAGAGCTTTGGAGAGGACTTCAACCAAACAGCGTGTGACCTGCAATAAAACAACAACTAGTAAATAGGAAGCTCTTCAATGCCTTCTTGTCTGATTAGCTGCTGTTTTGAACTTAGTCAAATTGCCTTTGAAAAAGAACATACCACATCTTCTCTCTGCCCTTCTTTTCCCACTGGAAGCGCTAGATTTTCTGCATTAGAAAAATGTTAGAATTAGTCAACCTGTAAAAGGATTGCATGCACTGAAGTAAAGGAAAAATATGTGTGTCTGTCCATGGTCCTGAACTGCGCACACTTACTCAAAGCACTGAAGAAGAAAATAATAACCTACCTGTCAACAAAGCCGCAACCAAGACAGCAACATAAATAAGTTTCATTTTGGCGAGATGATGGTATATCCAAGAAAATGTGTGAAAAAGCAGCAACTCCCGTCGCTCTGAAGCTTCAGGAGAGAGCTGCGCTGACTGTGCGCCGGCTGCTCTGAAGACTGGAGCTGAGGAGAGCCTCTAATAAAGAGAAGAGTGGGCTGCAGGAGCGTCGGAGGAGGGCTTTGGGCTCTGTTAATGTCAGGACTCATTAGACCTGCATGGAGACTGATTGGAGTGAAATTTGATGCAAGCACAATGTCGACATTTTGCACTAAGTGAATTAGTGTCACAGTTCATTCAGGAGGTGATCATTTAACCACATTTAAAGAGCATTGGAAGACATTTCATTTGAGCGTGTTTGTTTTGAATGTCGTGAGGTGCCTGAGGACAGGTACAGGGGGGTGAACACGGCATCACCAGGATTTGTGTACTCTGCTTCTGTAAAGCCCTGGAACAATACTTTGTAAATAAGAGTGTTGTTTTTTAAGTTGGAGAGAAGTTCAGCTCAGCCTACACTGTGTTGATGCTGCTGGTGTTCTTATTCTGCCACTGAATGTTAAATACAGTTATGTTTATGGCAGTTATACAATATTGGATTCCAGATATATTCAATATATTGTGCCGTGAGGTCTATCACAAATCTTCTCTTTTTTATGAGGCTTTCCAAAGTCTCTAGCTGAAGTGATGTAGTACCTCTGTATTATCAACTGCTAACACCCTACATTTCATGCAAGTTTAAATGTTTGATAGGAGGCTAATGTACTCTACATTTAAAGAAAAAAGTTAAGTAGACATGTACAGACAAGCACAGTCTGTCAAACCTTGAGTCCGATTTTAGCCAAACTGACTGATGAATTATTCAATTATTTGTATTCATTCAGCCTTCTGCACATCCGGTCCAGTTTTCCATGGGAACATGTAACTAATTTTTGTTCCAAAATGTTACAGTGTCTCAATCTGTGACTGCTGTCGTCTTCCTACCGTTCTCTGGATTAGGATGAGCTGACATGTGCAGCGGCACAGCTCAAATTTAGTATGCTCAGCGTGGCTCGGAACATTACAACTGAAAACTGTTGGCATCCTCTTTTGGCACTTTGCATGTTTTTTTCTTGCTTGCTTGTAGTGCAATGTGTTCTTCTTCAGTGCATGTATTCCTTCACTCAGACACAAAAAGGGATTTTGGGGAATAGGGTACGAAATCCAAATGACTCAGTCTCACCCATGTACAGGGGCGGCGCCAGGGTGCTGAAGCACCCCCCAGGATTGCCAAAGCACACCCAAGAAATGTGTTGTTTGTTTGTTTTTTTCCGAAAATTATTATTATTATTTTTATTAAATTAGAACAATTATTGATTACATCAATGCAAATGTGAAACAAACAAATGTTTGACCAACAACATAAAGCCAACACAGGTGACATGATTAGGCCAATGGCCAGCACCCATTAGATTTTTGACCTACCCATAGGCTAAATTACTTTGTGACACTTGAGTGACTTCCTGTTAGCTATAGAGCGCCAAATTATTTGCTAACAGCAAAGTGAACAATTGATCGTTTTGTAGTCCTTAAACGTCCACTTGTGGACACTCAATCAAAACCACCTGAAAGCGAGAGGGATTCTGCACATAGGCCTCGTGAGTACAAGTAGCTTACTTCTGGATCTCTGTGTTTCATTTAAGCTCTGCTCTGTGTGTGGCACGACTCCCATTTTGTGTGCGTGCGTGCAAGAGAGAGAGAGAGAGAGAGAGAGAGAGAGAGAGAGAGAGAGAGGAGAGAGAGAGAGTAGAGAGAGAGAGAGAGAGAGAGAGAGAGAGAGAGAGGAGAGAGAGAGAGGAGAGAAGAGAGAGAGAGAGAGAGAAGAGAGAGAGAGAGAGAGAGGAAGGAGAGAGAGAGAGTAGATAGATGAGAGTAGAGAGATAGATAGAGAGAGAACCGGTGGGTATCTATCTACCTTATTATACATCCATGGTATCTACCGGAGATCGTTGTGGTTAGCATCTGGTGCTAGCTAGTGAAGCTAACGGATATAAGGAGCTTTTTCAACAACAAGGTGGAGGGAGAACTCTCTCCTGTCAGACTGAGAGTCTCAGACAGTGGTGTAGTGGGCGTTGGACGCGGGGGTACGCCGTACCCCCACTTATTTGGAGCATGATCTTTTTTTTAATAGTCTAATAAATATAAAATCATTGCCAGTCTTATCAGTTGCAAACTGTATTTGTTGTAATAATGACAAAAACATAATACATTTCACAGTAATGGCCTATAATAAAAAATAAAAACGATTTCCTTCAAAAATGATGATTCGTGGTGACCCCGCAGCGAGCTGGGGGTGTGTCAGTGACACACCCCCAGCTCACCGCCCGCCGATTTTGCGGCAGCTCTTTCCCTCAAGAACGCTAACGAAAAAGCTCTATAATGGAAGGTAAACGTTTTTTTACTTGACTTTTCTAAAAAGAATATAATTCACAAGAAGAAATAAGCTAGCAGCACCGAAGCTACAAGTGAAACTGCTACTAGTACTACATCATCAGAAGAGCAGCCTAAAGACGTGGATTGATTGATTGATTGATTGAAAAAGTTTATTAACAGCTTGTATATTGGGTACAGTACAGTACAGCTCAAAACATACAATTGTTAAGGGGATGCAGACCAGAGAAAGACTTTCGTCTTGTTTACATCAGGGTCCCCCATTTCCAATTCATCATATCATTTAAGACATATAAGACATATTTGACATACAGATGGCTTATTTACAATTTACATACAGGTGGTTTTTTACATACAGATTGCTTATTTACAATTTTCATTTTAGATTTCGTTCTAATACATCCTAACCGGACATTTAAGACATACCAAGTCTACAGATATACAGTTAGTAACAGAGTCTAACATGCGAGTATATACATAGATGGGGGGGGAAGCTGTCACGACAGGTTGAGATTTGTACCATTACCGGGGCCAGTTTTGCAATGCTCTCCCCCGAAGGTGCTCTTTAAGAGAGGTTTTGAAGGTAAGTATAGTTTTACTTTCCTTTACAGTTGTGGGAAGAGCGTTCCACCTTGATGTGGCATAATTGCGAAACGTGTATTCCCCCTTTTTTGTGCCAAATCTGGGTTTCACATGATTTGTGGAGCTCCCTCTGGTGTTATGATCATGGTATTCCTTGACCTTTGGGAAGAATTTTGACATGTACATGGGTACCATAGAGGTGTAGTGGATCTTGTAGACCAGGCCCATTGCAAGTAGCTGTACTCTGTCATCTACTCTAAGCCATCCTAGGTTGTCAAAGTGGGCAGAGGTGAGGTGGGTTCTAGATGAAAGGTCAAGCAGTAGTCTGACCAGTTTATTTTGCGATGTTTGAAGTTTTATTTTTAGCGCCTTGGAGGTGCTATGGTACCATGACGTGCAAGCATAGTCATAGTACCCTTGAATGAGTGCTCCTGCCAGAGTTTTCAGGGTGTTTTTGTTTACCAGAGAGGAGATCCGGTATAGGAATCTAGTTCTTTGATTGACTTTTTTATTACATTGGATGCCATTTTGTCACAGGAGAGGTTTGCCTCAAGAATAGATCCTAGGTATGTAATTTCCTTCTTACGTGTGACAATAATGTCGCCCACTGCAACTGAGAAGTCGTCGGATTTGCTGAGATTATGTTTCGAACCGAAGAGAATGGACTCTGTTTTACCCAGGTGTAATGATAATTTATTATCGGCGAGCCAGGTGCAGATTCTGCCGAGCTCGGAGCTGAGGGTTTTTTCAACCTGCAATCTGCTCCTGTCAGAGACCAGCAGGGCTGAGTCGTCCGCGAACAGGAACAAGTTGCAGTCACATGCTGATGACATGTCATTTACATAAATTAGGAACAGTAACGGACCTAATATGCTTCCTTGTGGAACACCACAGCTCACTGGGAGGGGGGGGGGGGCAGAGTACCGTTTACCTCCACCATCTGTTCTCTCCCCTCCAGGTAGGATTGCATCCAGCTCACCGATAGTTTATCAAAACCAATTGCTTTTAGCTTGTCAATCAGAATGGGGTGATTGACAGTGTCGAAAGCTTTTTGTAGGTCCAGCATCACCATGCCGCAGTACTTGCCCTCGTCCACCTCTTGTTTGATGTGGTCGCTCAAATAAAGAAGGCATGTGTCAGTGGAGTGGGATGTTCTAAAGCCAGATTGAAATTCATAGATTAGTTTCTTTTCCGCGAGGTACTTTTCGACCTGTTCATATACTATTTTTTCCATGACTTTCGAGATGGAGGTAAGTATAGAAACAGGGCGGTAGTTGCCTGGGTCCAATTTGCTGCCCTTTTTGTGCAGGGGGGTTACTCTTGCAATTTTGAAGTCTTTGGGTACTTTTCCCTGTTTTATGGAGAGGTTAATTATGTGGGCTATGACTGGTGAGATGGCGGTTGCTGTGTCTCTGAGGAATTTGGAGGGGATATTGTCGTGGCCAGTGGCCTTGTTAGGTTGGAGGGCGCTCAGTTTAATGAGTACCTCTGCTGTTGTTACCCTTGCTAGACTGAAATCATCTTTGCGTACCCCTAGGTTTTTGTAGTAGGTCATGATGTGATCTACTCCAAAAAGCCCTGAGTGGGAGGGTAATTTATTTACAAGAGTTGTGGCTATGTTTGTGAAAAACATGTTCAAGTACTTGGCCACATCCAGTTTGTCTGTGATGAGCCTGTTATCTGTCTTTATGTTTAAGTTAGAAAATCTCGTTTTGAGTTTTTTACTGCAGCCAAGCTGGTTATTGAGTAATTTCCAAAGTTCACGGGGTTTATTTTTGTTTTCCTCAGTTTTATATATATATATATATATATATTTATATATTTATCAGGATAATGCTAGCTAACGTGCACGTTAGCTGCGCTAGCAACGTTCCCCTGGCTAGCTCAAGCTCACCTTTCCCAGAGGTATGGACGGAGGACATGTGGCAGAGGAAACAAGAGGCTACCCGTGGATAGACTGCAAAGCTGGGAAACTGGGCTGCTGTTCATCCATTTCGGATTGACCAGTCTCCAAAACGCAAGGTGTGTGTGTGTGTGTGTGTGTGTGTGTGTGGTGTGTGTGTGTGTGTGTGTGTGTGTGTGTGTGTGTGTGTGTGTGTGTGGTTGTGTGTGTGTGTGTGT